AATCGGTGTGGAAAGCCAAAGAAGAGGATACTCCAATCTCGCAGTAGCAGAGCTCGGTTAGCGTCTGTAAAGTATGCCATTTTTGATATCCGTTCTGAAAAAGGGCGGGGGGGGTTGCTGAGACAAGTATTCGGTGAAAAGTTATGGTTTTATTTCATGGTTGAACTTCATGGCTTTATATCATGGTACTTGGTGATTATTTTGAGAAATCGATTCAATGAAATCTTCAGAGACATCTGGAGTTGATTTATGCGCCGTGCCAGGTTCAGGCGCGGGGTGTGTTCAGGAATTTATCGTTTCATTGATCGCACTCATAGATACATACCTATCTATATTCAGAGACCAGCATTGTTTCTGTTGGGCCAGTCTTATGGTGGTGTTGCGATGTCGGACAGGTGGGTAAACCAACAAGGCTATGAAAGAGAAAGAGTCAGTGGTTGCCTTGCCCAGCCATGGGCGACCCTGATTGGTGGGTTTGAGGAGGCGCAGAAGTGTCTAGAAGCAGTTCCATTCAAAACAAACGGCCCTGCAGGGCTGAAGAAATAGATGTTTTTGTTTTTTTAACACGTGAAGGCCTTTTTCAAGACATGCTGATCCTTGACACAGGTGTCAGAAAGTGATTCGAGCATCGGTAAAACTTCAACAAAGCATGACAGGTCAGAAAGGAGTTGTGTAAGGCAAGGGTACTGACAGCAGAATCCAGAATCACAGTCTTCTTTGGGCATGCTGTTTTGAAGGGGTCGGCTCTTGCTTCCTATCGGGCTGCCAGGCTGCATGACAGAGGGGAGAGCCCCATTCCTGTCGCCTTGCAGATTGACGAGATGGTCAGTGCTCTCGTGTCTAGCGAGGGGCAGCCCCGCCTAGAAACGTGTGCACCAAGGTTTTTGACACTGGGCTACCCTCCTGAGAACACCGCAAAAGTGCGGGGCTCCATATGGGTTCAGAGTCTGGCCGCACAGTGCGGGGTCAGGACCACGGCAACAAGAACGTTCATTCACGTTGAGCGTCCACCGCTTATATTATGTAGAGCAAAGTAGAAACTGGTAGCGGTCTAGTCCAGAGTTTGGTTGCTGTCTGCTGTCTGCCCTGCATCAACTCCCCATCATCTTCTTCCTTTTCCAGTGACCGCTTCTCCTTGCCTTCCTCGATCACATCCTCGACAGAGACTAGTAGCTCGTTGGCAAATACCCAGGACAGTTTTTTGTGTGCTGTCTCGCAACCAACTCGTCTACATTCGACACACTCCTTTGCGTGCCACTCGTCTCTGCCTAGCAGCCATACAGCGACTTTGTTCGGTTCCGGCATCCAACAGCTCTTCAGGCTTGAAAGTTGCGGTTGTTGACTCGAAAGACAGAGTGTATTGCCCAATCTCTACAGCCTTTTTCTTCCACTGTAAGTCGTGTTTTGTCGAACCAGAGAGGCAGACAGACGTACGTGTCTGGCTGTTTGGCTGCTTTTGGAGCTCAAAGGAACTAACAGCGGCACTAAGACTTTGTAGTCCTAATCCGATAAGCCCCGTGGATCCACGACCCCCCGCTTGTGTTCCACGCAAACTTTAGCTGCGTCGAATACCAACTTTCTCCCTGTCAACACTCCCCTCCTCTCACCTTCACACCAACCCGTTTTCCATCCCGGACACGGTATCCAGACAGCAACCATGGAAGGCTCTCCGGACATCAACACTGTCCTCACCAACTCGCTGAGCCCTGGTAAGTCTCTTGCTGCCTTCCTCCCCTCTTTGCAGGCGCGCTGCGGTCAACGTGAAATGACGTTGTGATCATCGTTGAATCTCCTCTGACACCCACATGCTAACTGATTTTTCTCCCAGATGGCGCGCTCCGTAATGCCGCTGAGCAGCAGCTCATCCAGGCCGCCGAGCAAAACTTTGTACGTCTTTGCTGGCCTCGCCCTCCTCAGCCCCTATTCTGGCGGTCTCGCTAACATGTTCTGCCCTTCAGTCACAATACCTCCTGACGCTCGTCCAAGCGTTGGCGAATGAAAATGCCGAAGGACATATTCGAGCCGCCGCCGGTATCGCTCTCAAGAACGCCTTCAGTGCCCGCGAGTTTGCCAGACAACAGTCTTTACAAGCGAAATGGCTGAACCAGACCGACCAAGAAACCAAGACCCGCGTCAAGCAGCTGGCTCTCGAGACGCTTTCCTCCACAAATGCCCAGGCCGGCCAGGCTTGCGCTCAGGTCGTCGCTGCCATCGCGGCGATCGAGCTGCCCCGTGACCAGTGGCCAGATCTTATGGCGTCTCTTGTCCGCAACGTCAGCGAAGGCAGCCCCCACCAGAAGCAGGCCTCCCTCACAACTATCGGGTTCATCTGCGAGAGCCAAGATCAGGATCTGAGGAACAGCTTGATTGCCCATTCGAACGCCATCTTGACGGCAGTAGTACAGGGTGCTCGCAAGGAGGAGACCAACCTCGAGGTCCGTCTCGCTGCCATCACCGCGTTGGGTGACTCCCTCGAATTTGTCGGAAACAATTTCAAGCACGAAGGCGAGCGCAACTACATCATGCAGGTTGTCTGCGAGGCCACTCAGGCCGAGGACTCTCGGATTCAGCAGGGTGCTTATGGCTGCCTGAACCGCATCATGGCTCTCTACTATGAGAACATGCGGTTCTACATGGAGAAGGCTCTGTTTGGTCTTACCATTTTGGGCATGAAGAGCGATGACGAGGATGTTGCCAAGTTGGCGGTTGAGTTCTGGAGCACAGTATGCGAGGAGGAGATTGCCATTGAAGATGACAATGCCCAGGTCGAGAGCTCCGAGCAGATGCGCCCATTCTACAACTTCAGTCGCGTTGCCACCAACGAGGTCGTCCCTGTTCTCCTCGCCCTCCTCACCAAGCAGGACGAGGACGCTTCAGACGACGAGTACAACATCTCGCGTGCCGCCTACCAGTGCTTGCAGCTCTATGCCCAGTCGGTTGGAGCTGCTATTGTCCCTCCAGTTATTGCGTTTGTCGAGGCCAACCTCCGCCACGACGACTGGCATTACCGTGATGCCGCCGTCTCTGCCTTTGGTGCTATCATGGACGGTCCGGAAGAAAAGACCTTGGAGGGGATTGTCAAGTCAGGAATGGGCCCTCTCATTGCCATGATGGATGATCCTTCCATCCACGTTAGGGATTCGACCGCTTATGCGCTCGGCCGTATCACCGAGACCTGCGCCGATGCCATTGACCCTACTCAGCACCTGGATGCTCTGATCCGCTCGCTCTTCAACGGTCTTATGAACACTCCCAAGATGGCCGCTTCTTGCTGCTGGGCCCTGATGAACATTGCCGAGAGATTTTCTGGTGACGGCGAGTCCGCTCAAAACCCCTTGACTCCTCACTTCAACCAGAGCGTCACAAACCTGCTTGCTGTCACCGGCAGAATGGACTGCGAGGCTTCCGTCAGGACTGCTGCCTATGAGGTTCTGAACACGTTCGTGCGCAACGCTGCCAGCGAGAGTCTCCAGGCTGTCGCCTCTCTTTCCACCGTTACCATCGAGCGATTGGAGGGCACCATCCCAATGCAGGCCCAGGTCGTCAGCATTGAAGACAAGATCATCCTCGAGGACATGCAGACCAGTCTCTGCACCGTCCTCCAGGCCATCATCGAGCGCCTGGACAAGGAGATCGCTCCTCAGGGTGACCGTATCATGCAGTGCCTGCTCCAGATTCTGAGCAGCGTCAACGGAAAGTCTAGTGTACCCGAGGGCGCTTTCACAACCATCAGCAGTCTTGCCAATGCGATGGAGGAGGACTTCGTCAAGTACATGGATGCCTTTTCTCCATTCCTTTACAATGCTCTTGGCAACCAAGAAGAGCCGGGTCTCTGCTCGATGGCTATTGGCCTCGTCAGCGATATCACACGGTCCATGGGCGAGCGCAGCCAGCCTTGGTGCGATAACTTCATGAACTACCTGCTGAACAACCTCAGGAGCACTGCTCTTGCGAACCAGTTCAAGCCTGCCATCCTCCAATGCTTTGGCGATATTGCTGGCGCTATTGGTGGCCACTTTGAGACATACCTCTCCGTCGTTGCGCAGGTATTGCAGCAAGCTGCTACCGTCACCGCCGGCGCCGAAGGCTCCTATGAAATGTTCGACTATGTCATCACCCTGAGAGAAGGCATTATGGATGCTTGGGGTGGCATCATCGGAGCCATGAAGTCTGGCAACAAGAGTATGTTGTGTCCCCTATTCTTGCATGAGAATGTAACTGACCCATTTCTTTTAGCCGCTGTCCTCGAGCCATATGTTCAGTCAATCTTTGAGATGCTGAACGTCATCGCCAACGATGCTAACCGCAGCGAAGCTTTGATGCGGTCTGCCATGGGTGTCATCGGGTAAGTTACAATTCATGGTCATTATTCAAACGCGGCTCTTGCTAACAACCAACCAGTGATCTTGCCGATGCTTATCCTAATGGCCAGCTGGTTGAAGCCTTCCGTGCGGATTGGCTGACCGCCATGATCAAGGAGACGCGCCAGAACCGCGAGTTCCAGCCCCGCACCATTGAGACTGCTCGCTGGGCCCGCGAACAAGTCAAGCGTCAAATCGGCGGCGCTCAGGGCATGATGTCGCAAACATGAAGCAAAAATAATCTTGGCCAGCAAGGAGCTGCCATATCCTCCCCTCCCTTCCTTCGAGTGCTGAGACCCATCTGCGTCGGCCCCAGTGGCACCCGACAGTCTGTTCAGCAGTAAAGTGGCCCCGTCAACCTCCCCCCCCTTC